GATAGAGGATGGGAGGTCATTGATATAGACGAAAAAGAGGGTGTGGGATAAAGAGAAACCTTGTGGGACGCCTCTGGACATGGGTAGAGACACTGATGGAGGGTTATTAGGGACTACAGCGTACTGGGAGCGACCAGTGAGAAAGGATTGGAACCACTTAAGGACACTAGATGATAAGGAAATATTTTTAAGTTTGGTTAGGAGGATATTATAATCAACTGAATCAAATGCTTTAGAGAAATCAAGAAGGATCAGGATAGTGAGTTTCTGTTGATCTATGGCTGTGTGAAGATCTTGGAGATTAAAATATATTTAATCACGAATAATACTAATCAAGAGGATTATTGGAGCGAAAAACGAAAATAGGACGATCTGTCATCTTATCAAGTCCCGAAAATTCCGGATCAGGCCTGCTAAATTCCTTTGTTGTAACTATCAAATCATTTAAACTATATTAATTCAAAATAATTAAAATTTTGAGAGTAAATATTGGTATTTGATGATACATTATATGACCTATCAAAAACGGACAACTACTTTGTTAGAAAGTGACAATAAAAAATGAAGAATCCCCCATTTGGAGAAATTCAGTTCGCTTGACGAAATAATCTTTTCATGGTTTCTATGGAGAAAAACATGGTTATATTAGCGGAGCTACTAGCATTGAGCACAACTTTTGGTAACTATCAGACCTAATAGAAATTTTAGTTTAGGTCTAAGCGGAGAAGTCCACTTTTGGTAGCATCAGATACATACTCCTCATATCTACCACCAACTGTGTTCAAGCTTAACTTGGTATTGATTTTCACAATTTGTTTTGTTCACAATTTAGACATTCTTCGTGACACAAAACTATTTTGCTAGGCCTGATAAAAACGTGATGTGTTCTTCGCATGCAAAAAGTTATCATTACCTATTTGTGCGTGTGGTTGTCAGCATCGGACTGTGACCCAATTCCCACGTCACGCATCGTCGCATTCATTCGCCATTTGACAATGCCAACACAATCCACTACCGAAAAATAGTGTCGTCTAAGTGAGCCTTTCACTTGACACAATGACTAATTCCAATTTTAATTTTTTTTATTATTTTGTTTTAGTGAAATTTCTAGTGGCAAACTTTGTACCTTTATTCACAATTCTATATTCCATGTTTTATTCTATATTATATGTTAAATATTCCAACTCATGTAACAAATAAAAGAAAAATAGAACAACGTGCCTTTTACAAAATATAAAAAAAGGGACAGAAAACAATCACAAACATTATGTCATCGGCACAATTATGCCAATATCGGCTAGGATGTATTAAACACATCGTTACACACCAGAACTAGACCTTTTCTTTAGATATTCCTAAGGAATACTTTTAGGATTCTTTAAAACTATACACTATCCTCGATAGCGCTTAGAAAATCGAACGGAGTAGGTCATATAAAAATTAAGAGCATCACAATTTTAAAATTTAATTTTTATGACCCAGAGTTTCTTTCTAAATGTGTAAATTAGGCTTATTTTATTGGAAATCAAAAACAAAATGTGAAATCAAATCATTTTGCCATATGAAACTCCAAATATAAAACTATTTTATCTGAGAAATGATGAATTTTCGTACATAGAATGTCAAAATCTACATAATCTCAATTTCGAACTAGAAATAATATATTGTCGAATTTCTGCAACCTACTTCCCCTTCTCCGTAGACTTTAAGTAACGTTAAAATTACGTAATCTAACAGGATATTAACTAGTCAACATATCAACATTTTTTTTTCTTTTCAAAATAAAAATAATAAATAAAAAACAAAACAAATCTATCGTTATATTTTTATTTTCACGTCAAACAAATGGAACGTACAGTAATATTTCGTGGTAGAGACTCCTTTTTATGAAATTATTAACATTCGCCTGAAACTTCGTGAATAGCTTCATCACAACCTACAACTATTTTATTTATGAAAACTCTTAGAATCGAGGCGTTTTTAATCTGGAGATCGGCAATAAACAAAGTTTGCCGATCTCCAGGTACTAAAAACTGGTAAATAAACATTCGCTTTGCACTTGGACCGTAATATAATTTGATCCCAAAATCGAGAAAAAAATGTGGCCAGTAAAATGAGTCTCCAGATTGAAAACGCCCCAGTTCCAAGCATTCAAATAAATAAAATAGTTGTAGGCTACGATGAGGTGAAGCTATTTACAAAGTTTCAGGAGGATCTTAATAATTTGATAAATCAGGTCTGTACCACGCACTATAAGGGAAGTATTTCATATTTCAAGGTTCCGTGTTTATGTGCACAAAAAAAAAATCTATGACGCAGAAATTAAGTATTTAAGCTGAAATCGACTTAACCATAAGTGGCACTTTATGTCACAGATTTTACACATGTTTATGATTTTCTCTAAAACCGTCCAGAAGATTGTTTCTATTCCCCTATAGTTGAATAAAATGGAATCCCGGTCATTTTCCCAGAGAAATGAACAATGATAAATAAAACCCACGTTTCATTACATACCAATGCAGAGAGTAGCAGAAATGCACAAAAAAATTATTTTTTGTTTTACTATAATATAATGAACTAAGAAGAGTAATTACAATTTCAAATATATAACTAAAAATAAATAAGTAATACCATTCATGTCCAGAAAATCCCTTCCGTAATGGTTAGTCGTCGCCACGTGTCGCAGAGTCAGGCACAGTTCCCGATCTGCCAAGCGATGGCGCAGTGGAACGTAGTTGTTTTGTCATTCATTCAGAATGAGCTAGTCATTCTTCGTATACATATTATATATATAAACTACATTGGAAGAAAGCCCACACAACTTAAAAAAGTATCGATCAACATAATGGTAATGACTATGGAAAAGTTGGAAAATCTATATATCTTGAGTTGATCAATTTTCTTCCAAGTAGGGAGGAGATCAAGAAAATTTCTTATTTTAAATAATATAAGTATCTGAATGCGGATGAAAACAATGATAATATTTTGCGAAATAGTAATTAAACAGATAGCATACTTTCACCATGGAAATGTTTAAAAAAAAAAATATATATATATATATATATATATATATATATATATATATATATATATATATATCAAAGTAACGCATAAATACCAATAAATTTGATTTTTGTAAATATTAGTGACAAATATGATAAAATGAAACTAGAAGAACGTTGAATATTACAATGACATTATTGAATAAAAATGCTGAGCCGTTCTATAACCTGACACACACGTCCAAGTGATAATAAATGTTTTTTTAGGTATTTAAACAAATTAAGGTCGAAAAAAAACCATAGCCATAAAAAGGCTGACCAGCCAATTTTTTATGGACTGGCTCAGCAATTCATCCAACTTTTTCCTTAAAGGGAGGAAAAATATATATGCATCGAAATCAGTGGATCACTCGCCATTCGTGCCAATTCAAAATTATCCACAACCAATATTAAAAATAAATAAATTAAAATTAAAAAACTACAGCATTGTAGGAATTATCAATCTACAGAACAGAAGGAATTATCAATACATACAAGATGTGAATAAGTGATTCTATATAATTATTTTATAATCGTAGCACAATAAGGATACACCTACAGAATTAAAACGTGGATATAGACTATGTCTAGAACTAACTTGGAATAAGACTGGAACAACTCAAAACTTAGCTTTAAATAGATCAGTACAATAACATTATATATCTACACCTAAGCATATACATTTATATACCACTATTTTCGAAGACAGTTGGCATAATTAAAGCATTGATGATTTTCCATATTTGTCTATCCATAATCAACAATATGCATATAATTATAAATAACCAATAGTTGTGCAGTTCCATGTCTGAGTTAGTAATAACATATTTATTATTAGTAATAACATATTATTTATTAAGCTACTACAACAAAAAATAAATACGTATATATACCTAAGAGAATATACATTTTTATGATCCAATCCATAACTGTAGATCAGATTTAATTAATATTACCCTGCTGTCACTGAAATGGTCAACTCCTCGGCGAATGATTTGATCGATTGATGATTTGAGACAACCCCAGTGAATTCCAAGTCTGCAACCGGGACCATAACTTGCAACGAACAGACACCAATGTCCAACCATAACAAACCAGCAAACAACGTAATCATACAACACAAGAGCAAATAATATACTGTTTTAATTCTACAGTCGATCAAATGAAAAAAAGAAAAACGACCATATGAATTTTTTACCTAGAAACGAGAAATTAATAACATTCACTATAATCTCAAGGTGCTTCCATAACATAAGACTACCAAATTTTTATCACTGCGTTGTTTATAGTTTTCCAATGACCAGCTACTTTTGTTTTGAAACGTAAATTAAATTTTTAAAAACAGGTTTAACTCATCATCCTGACCTAATTATTTGTATTTATGAGTTGATAATAGAAGATAAGACGATATAAACTCGAAAACAAAGCGAGTATGTGTAGCCGAAAAATGATATACTTGCTCGTCGTCAGCAAGAAAGGTCGGTGTTGTAGAAAACAATACCAAACGGAAAACATTTCCTCTAACAGGCAGCTATAACTCCGAATTCTTTGATGAAAAAAAGTGTTGGAAGAGGCCATCCAAGGTGCTGACTTTATTGCACCAGCATTCGTTGTCTGTGCAAGAACCATCACGGCTGCGTCCAATAACAGCTGTTTGACTATTTATTAGAAGGTTGTTCGTTTTAAAATTCTCGAGTCTAGCGGTGCTGTTCGTATCCGGTCTTGTGAAGAGGTTCGATTCCCCCCCCCCTTATTTCTTTAAGAATATGTTTTTCGCATCGATACACTATTTAGGAGTTGTAAAAAATAAAAATAAGGCTCTCTTGGCTGTAAAAAGTTTTCTCTTGGTTGCCCACGTTAGCAATTTTGGGTTTTACATATTCAAGTTTTCAACGACCTAGTTTTAAAGATATAGTATATAAAATAACAAACATAATTAGCATGACGATATAGGAACGCAATTAATAAATTTATAAAGTAACAACCTTTTGCTGATCTACTTATTTTTAACATATGATTTATTTTTTAAAAAAGTCAATAAGAATTTGTGTCCTCAGTTCGTAAGTTGGGGAAGATTTACATTTTTTTTCTCTGAGAGTCCAATTAAATTGAATTAAGAAGATGAATCTAATCGTAGAATCTAAGATGTAATACATACAGCGAATAAACAACAAAATATTAAAATCAAAATATGCTATAAACTTAAGCTCAGTTATCCTCCACCAATACATCAAGCTCAATCGACAAAACGAGCTGGATCAGGGAGGTAACGTAAGTATTATTTAATTAACAGTTGTTCGTCATGATTTAATTGCTAAAGAGGAGCTAAATTAAAAGGATTTAGCAGGAAAAAAATTAGTATACCTAATAGAGTAAAATAAATTTTTAAGTTTATGATATTATGGTGGGCTCAATGCAAGAACTAACTATAATTTTTAATCGAGATACATGATTTGTGCTATAACCAAACAAAAAAAAAACCTGCAAAAAGAGTGACAATTGTTTTAAGCGTCTAATTTTCATGGATACTAATGAATCTTACAGATAAGGTCAGTACCTTTCTGAACATGTAATATTTCTTTTTTTAAAGATATTTAAAAGTTTTTAAATCATACCTTACCGAATGTGAGTTAGATAACTCAGCCATTGTGTTTTCTTGTATAAGGTTGCAGAAAACCAAGGAAGGCTCATAATTATATAACAATGGATCCAAGGCCTATGTGTTCGCGCTATCATAAAAAATTTATTTTATTTTCTGCTTACTAGTATATTTAGTAGAGTAAAATGTTTTAGATGATATAATTTAAAGCATATTTGATGGAGTATGTGAAGGTTTTTCAGTTCAAGTAGAACGGAATTTCGAAAAATTATAACCTTTTTGTTGAGTTTTATCTATACTATAAAACTTATTTTATCACTCTGTCGCATTTATTAAAAAGATTAAAGAAAACAAGTTAATAAATGTAAGAAATATGGCGAGTCCCTATTTCATGAGTACATAATTATCCACCTACCTTTCGTTCCACATCCACCGTATACTAGGCTAACTAAGCTTCAGACGAGTTAACGCCTGGTTGCAAATACTCCGTCAATTTACTATTTATTTTTGTCATATTTGCAGAGTGAAAAATAAATAAAATAGTATACATAACACTTACAAAAAGGGTCTGTCAATCCCTTTATTGGGAGGTGAAATACCGACATTGCTGTAATCTTAAATATCTTAAATATAAAATTTAGATTTATTCGAATATTGATGATTCAATTGTAAAAAAATATAAACGAAATTATAAATTAGGAGTCTTCGAGCGAAATACCCAATCTTTTACAACACAATACTTGTCCAACACCTTAACTAAAATACGACTGTATAGTTTCATTTCGCAACGAAAAACTAATGCACTTATTAATTATAAACTTCACAATACATATTTCGTACACATGTTAAAAATATATCGATATTAATTTTTCGATATATTTCAACATAAATACATCGAAATATTTTACGAAGGATACTTTAGTAATGATTATTACTTCTTTTAACAGATAATAATATATGTTTAATGTAAACAAATTATTAGATATAACTACTTACAAAACAGCAATGATGCGACCTGTTATATTGTTAGTTATATAACTAAATTTACTCAATTGGTCTGTTTACGCTGTTAAGCTTATGTAAAATAGCGCGGAGGATGTTTTATAAACATACTATTGTTAATTGTTATTATAATTCTTCCATTGACGAATTCATTAAAATACCGTTAAATGTAGTTTTAAAAGTAAAATGAAATCATTGATTTGAAACAAATTTATACATAGATATATTTGAAAATATGACAGGCATGGACAAAAAAATCAACTCAGAATTCTTGGCAGCATTCTGATTTTTTCGTCTCATTGTCACTTCCTCACGATTCAATTTATAGAGGCTGGGTGTGCCCCGAGACCTATTGACGATTCAATGCTAATAAAACTGAAAATAAATTTTACAAGTCAGGTAGATTCGAAGCAGATATGAGTGTTGTAAGCACTAACGGATCCAGGATTTAATTTTGGGAGACTTCAGCCCGAAAGGTACTTTTTTGTATACATATATTAGGATAATGAATTCGAAAGAAAGTAACTAAATACCTCTATGAAATGGTCTTTAAGTGATTCTTTAAGTCCTATTAATTGTAATTAGACGAACAATAATACTTTTAAAGTTAATTTTTTTTCATACATGGGTTATATTTTACCATTTTGCTGAGGGCTTCAGCCCGAAAGCCCTCCCTCCCCGTAGATCATCCCGTGGTTGTAAGTCCAGTGATATGTTCTCTGAGTCCAACATTTCAATAATCTAGTTAGGAATATTGTTAACATAGAAAACTATGGGCCTAAGTTTTTTAATTTAGAGAAAAAACTTATTATTTTAGGAAGGGCACGTCGGATAAAACTAGTTACAATAGACAGTAGTGGCAGGGGTGACCAGAAGGCGGTTGTATGGCGCAGGTTGCGCCATTAAAATGTATGAGGGGGGCATATTTTGACGGATTTTTGAATTTTTAGACTAAAGAACAAGGGGAAACATAGGACAGACAGCAGCAATTGTAATTGTATATGGTCTACGATTTATCTAATTCTACCTTAGCTTTCTCTGTTTTAAGAAAAGGTGAGCAACAAAATATCTTGGGAGGAGGGGACGGGGTAGGTTCTTGCGCAATCGACCTTGTGGGGATGGGCACCCCTGAGTAATGGAACCTTCAAGATTGTCCACCCTTCCTCACATACGTGAGCACGAAGGCATTTAATTACCTAAAAGAAAACCGAAGAAAAAAAATGTATTTCATTTTAAGAACAAGTCGCCAGATATATTGCTCATTAGTTGACCAATTTAGGCAGCAGCCTAATCACAAAACCTGTTGTTTGGGGCTGTGTAATCTAATCAAGGGGAATAATAGGCCGAAGACGATAAGACCATGAAAAGGAGATAACAGCCAAGTTTATATATATATTTAACGAATATCACAACTTTCAAACACAATTATGATAAAAATGTTGTTTTTAAGATTATTATGACATCTTTGAGGAGGAAGAATGCAAATGGGTGGATGCTCCCAGTTTTAGCCTAATGCCTACTTAAGATTCACTTAACAAATTGCACTTCACTGCCAGCATATTCGTAATTTTGGCTTTGGGCCTGATGAGTCCATTTAGATTACTTACATTTGAACGTCGGCGTTTGTATCTATCACGCGTCACTTGAAGATTGTAACAAACATAAATATCTTCTTTGTTTTCATTAAAAACATACTCTTAAAACGAGAATTCTTTAATCCAGATATATTCTCAACAGAGGTTATAATGGAATGCATCGGTAAACATTTCTCAGGTGTTCTCCGCACTATATAACGTATCGCAAATTGAGTTGTAAATTGAATTATTATTCGAAAGAATGAATAAATTGAATAAGTAATAATAAATTGAAGGAGCAATGCATAATTTACAATTAAAAACTTGAAATAAAAAATAAGCCTTGTCCTGAACCAAATGAACACCAAACAAAATATGAAACTATGTTATTTAGTACAATTATAAGTTACAAATTTGCTCAAATTTAATGAGTGCTCGAAAGGGAGTAGCATGGCGCAACTTGCGCCTTGTAAATTTTTGGAGGGAGGACATATTTATGGAGTTATGAATTACTCGAGGGAACCAAAAGTTTGTGTGATTAAAGTCGAAGAGAACTTTCAAATCAAGGAAGAAGGCAAGTAGACTAGAAAATCTACTAAGAGGAGAACAATAAATTTCTTTTAGGAAGCGCCATCGTTCTTCGAGAGATATGAGGATAACCCAGCATATACTCACAGAAACAGTTCAGTAGCTATCAGCAATATATTAAAAACAAAATGGAGAATTATTTAAGCAACCGTTTATCAACAATTGGTTCGCTTACCTTGTTGTAGAATTAGCTGCTCACCAAGGGTTCATCAGCGTTAAATTTGTTTGTACATGTCTGTTCCATCTACACGAAATGCATTCATCCATGCTAAATGCATTTGATAAATAGAATGGGGTCCTAATATCGTATAAACTAATAAAAAGAACTAACTTGACAAAGAGCCTCTTCCTTTTGATAATTATACTAACAAAGCTTTATCACGAATCCTGAGTAATGTTTTAAACTATTCAATAAAACGTTAAAGTTATTAGGCGTAAAATATATATTTAGTTGTTTCTTCATGTAACTGATTTTCTTCGCAACCTAAACAGGTTAAGGCACGGGTCTCAAAGCCTTTTGTTCTGAGGGCCACATTGAGACTTCCACCAAGTCCCGTGCACTAACGGATCCAGGATTTAATTTTGGGGGAGGATTCAGCCCGAAATATATATATATATATATATATTTTTATATATATTAAGATAATTACTTTGGAAGAAAGAAAGAAACTAACTACCTCTATGAAATGGTCTTTAAATTAATCTTTAAGTCCTATTACATGTAATTAGACAAACAATAATACTTTAGGAGATAATTGTTTTCATAAAATATGGTTATATTTTACCATTTTGAAGGGAGAAGGGAGGGAGGGGACTTCAGCCGGAAAGCTCTCCCCCACTCACCATAGATCCGGCTGTGGTCCCATGGGCCATGGCTTGAGACGAAAAAACTTATACTGTAAATGGCACTTGAGTAGTGTAATGATCTTGCTAAGAGAAAAAAAACATACAACAAATGTTGTAGCAACTTCTTGTGCGAGTATTTTGCTAAATTTCACCATGTAATTAAAAACATTTTCATGGGCCATACTTCGGTGACTCCTGGGTCAAGGGAACATATAGATCTCGGGCCTGGACCTAAAAAGGTTATTCATTTCAGGAAAATGTGTGGATGTGACTTAGAGGAGAATCTAATAAAAACAAAAGTTGTAGAACAACAGATGTCCACTGAGTAGCAATTTTTTTCGCTGGGCCATTTCACGTCATTTCGGGTACCGTCGTAGCCTATTTCCGGACACTAGGGATAATTTAAAAAACTAAAGTGTAATTTATAGTAATATATTTCAGTTTTCGAGATATATGGTAAAAATCATGGTTCGTTTGTCGTGATTTTCGGCCGTACCACTTAACCAAATTATTAAGTTTAGCTACTCATTCGACGCACAATTTAGTGTTCTTTCTAATTCTTCTAATTCCTTAAAGGGTGAGTTATGGGTGAAAAAATGTTATAAAAAAATATAACTTTTCTAGCCAAAAGTTCTGTCGAGGATGTCCGTGTTGGTATTTTTGCTGTTTACATGTTGGAATACATGTACAAAAATTTAAAAAATAAAAACATCCCACATTTTTAGCAAAATAATCCCCGTTTCGATCCTCAACCGACTGACCTAATATTCTTTAAATCGGCCACCATTTTTGAATCGCCGTCTTTGGAATGACAGCGATATTTCTCATAGTTAACATAATTCACATTAACATTTAAACCTCCTGAAACGAGTAATTTTTTTAAGCCCTGGATCCAGAGCTAATAATATAGATAAGCTTTCCATCTCATCGCTAGACGACTTCAACATGCTTAATAGTTTGTCCCTACTCTTTATCTATACCGAATACAGACGATCCCTTAACGGAAAGATTTGGTAGCCAACGGTTTCCAGATTTATTAACTTGCTTAAAGTCTAACTCACTAAGCGGTTTCTCTAACTCAAAAATATTTCCTTCAAAACAAGAACTGCTAGTCGGAGAAAAATTCTTGAGAATCCTGGCACGTATAAATATTAATCACTGGATGGGGATATTGTTTAATAGAACCATTGATTAATTAAATAATCAGATACAATACTGGAAAATTGAAAACTGATTCACTACGATACCTAAAAATCTGGTCTTATGTCTATTGTTCACGACTTTTTAATTTCCGACTGCATCCAGAAGAAGTGAATTTATTACTTGATAAATAAATTGATTTTTGATCGTAAAAAACATTTAATTCAATTAAAGTTTTATATCTTTGAGCAATTTAATGCACTTAAATACGCCTTTCAAAGAGATTTTTTTTTATCAATAATCTTTAAGAGTTTTTATTTAAGATAAAATATATTTCCCTATAAATTAATATATTTCTAAGGATTTTTCGATTGTTGAAATAAAAATTGGTAACATAAAAGTACTGTTTGCAATTAAACCTTGAATTGAAAAATGAATCTATACTTATACAATTACCTTTATCTGTTAACAAGATAAGACGTTTAAATAGCAAATCATCAATGAAGGACAAGACATGTTCAAATATAAATAATAATAATAATATTCGGGTATGGTTTCGATAAATTATTTAATAAAATACTTACTTTGATTTAGATGGCATTCCATTAACACGGTATAAAAGCGAATTGATTCAATTAAAATGAAGCCTGTTTTATCTATAATCAGTACCAGAAAGCATTATAATGAATTATAAATTTCACTGTAATGTGTAGAGAAAATCACGAAGGTTTTGACTTCGATTGCGTAATATTATCTTGACCAACCTCACACCTATAATAACGAAAAAATACTTAATAATGACAAAACGAGAGATTATTTTACTTCGATGCAAACCTTTTATAAGAAGTACTCGATAAATTATAGATTGACGAAAATCCTGGAAGGACTGAAAAATAATTCTTTGAAGGGGTCTACTTTTGTTCACATTAAGTTCTGAAAATTATGGTATCTAATTACTTCAGCCAAGACAGCTTTTCAGTTTGTGAGGTACTCACTCAAAACGATTGAATTTTAAACAAGCAGGGACACATTAAGTAAAAATTAAAGAATATATTATAATTGCTAAAAAAATAATTTACTAATATATATTCGTGTAATGATGTTTTTCAATTAGGCTCGAAATCTTGAAAAAAAAAACGTTCTCAGCTTATTTGAACATATTGAAAGATTAAAATCGATACCTTGGGAGACTAATACATACACGACAAAATATGAAAAGCGTTATAGAAACATTTGTTTCAGAATAGAATATATATATATATATATATATATATATATATATATATATATATATATATATCGAAGCAAGGAAAACATATAGATTAGGAAGGTTTTATGACTGAAAAGCACCTCTTCCATAAGTCCTTTTTAATTCTTATTCTTTTAATCTGAAGTTTCAGATTATTGACTCATCATCAAAGACAATTTAATGTAATAGTTAAAATTTTATCCATATAATTGTCATAGAATGCATGTTAACCATTTGTCAACTGGTAGAATAATTTTAATTTTAAATATTTCAGATGGATATACTTTTCCATTGTCTAGGATATTTAAGTTGAACTTTATACTCAATATAAAGTTGATGAGAGATGACAATGAGATATCAACTATCAGAATAAATGGTCATTGATGATTGGTAAATAAGCCGAAACGTTAGATTAAAGGATTAAAAAAAAATTACCATTGGAAGAGATGCTTTTCATCTTAAAACCTAGCACTATTGTAACCCATCCTCATAAATAATATATCAAATAATAAATGAAGAATAGATTAGGAAATATATTTAAAAACAGATTGAAATGTTTAAACAGTTCATAATTAAAAATGCTTGAAATTAAGAGATAACTAAGACATAAAAAATATCTTGGATGCACCTAAGCCGCTATAAACTAATAACAGGAATCAATACTCTACAGGAAATCATAATTTTCCATGGCTTGAGTATGTCAGAATCTACACCACATATAATAGATCCATTTTTTGACCTTCAGGTGCTATGAATGAGTTATCAAAGAAAAGGGAGATTCATTATGTGACAAATTCCAATTTCGATCGTTCGAGAAAGAAACTTTTTGATATATTTAATAAAGGAAAAATATCCAGGTATGGTTTTATACTCTTAGTATTTTTTTTTTTTTTTTTTTTTGCAATTGAAATTAACCAAATCCATTATTGCACTTGATCAAGTGCCTGTTTAAGCATTGGTTTATAGTTTCTTCACTATGATAGACCTCAATACTCATAGTGAGAGAACTATAAACCAAGGCTTAAACAGGTCTTGATCAAGTGCAATAATGGATTTGGGTATGTTCAATTGCTTTACTATTAGATATTAGATAAATTTTTCCAATGGGATAAGCTTAATCACTTATTAAGTAAATTGTTACTTTAAGTTTTGGTAGTAGTTGAATAAGCTACCTTTATAATGTTATATTGTAAAATACATACGAATTAACATGTTTTGCCAATAACGTTCATACTGCATATGCATAAGGGAGACGGAGAGGTATTTAATGTGAGTTCTCACTGGCGCATACTAGTTAAAATAATTTTGAGTAATACTTTTGATAAGAATTAAACTCGCTAATAAGCGTAATAAGGTTACATATGTGTTAATATTACATAAAAAATGAATCTTTCGTGTCTAATGCATTTTTCCTGTGAAAAGCTGTGAATGTACTTACATAATCGCTAGAATAACAAGAAACAATAAATTTTGAAGACATAGATAATTGGGTTAAATATGAAGGAAAGACAAAAAAGGTTGTGTTGAGGAGTATATTTGATTCAAAGTTGAAATCCGACATAGAAGACAAATGTATAAATGTATGATTGTAGATGTACGTCACCTGATGAGGTGCCCAGTTGCCGGCTGAGCAGAGCGTACAGGATCAATCCAGCTGATCGCTCGGGGTGGGGGTCAATACATGGAGCAGCAGGGCGCGCGCACCATCAGCTGTCCTCTCACCAGCTGTTGCCAAGGCCGCCTCTCCAAGGTGGGCCTTTAAACCTCCTCACTGCCCTGCACACAACAGTCCAATCTGTCAGGGTGGGGGTACTCACTGGCCCGGATTCACATCCGTTACATTTCTTATTTAATTAAACAGATTAAATCAAACATTCCATATACAACATTAAAAAACATTATATAATGAGATACATGTAATATAAAAATAAAAAGACAAACATTCTATACATCAGAGTTGAGAATAAATGTACTTCATATATTGACGAATGAATTTACATGTGGCAACCATGAAAGAAGTACTAAGTGCTCCAAGGCCTCTTAGAATTACCAGGAACATTAATATCAAAGCCGAAGGAGATACCACATAAGATAACATACCCTTCTGCAACGCCGAAGTCTGATTGCTACATCTCCTTGATTTATTACATCTAAAAGTTTTCAAGTTTGTTACCAGTTGAAACAAGAGAAAGAAAGGAAAGAGATGGTCCGCTGTAGCAGTCATAAAAAAAACTTAAAATAGTGGATTTCATTTTATTTAACATACGTTTCGACACAAACAAATTCAATAGCAGGGTCTTCATCAGGGTTATAGTCATGTTGAACATGGAAGTTGGATCTAAACGTAGGCCAGATAAAATGGTTTCCACTAATTTTATTTTAACATTTCTTTTAATTCAACCATTAATTCCCCACCCTCACTCCTTGGCCGGGGTAACCCATATATCATAAAAGGCGAGAAAGGAGAGGACAACAAAATGAGACATAGCTCAATTATCTGTATTATCACCTATATCTACATGATATATTGAACTTTTTTTGTAAGTTATTTCAAGTAAATTACTGCGAAATATTGGAGGAGCTAGGTAAGAAATTGGGGGCAAAGATAAGCTCCTTAAGATATTGGGGACAGAAATTGCCTAATCACCCCTCCCCTGTGCCGCCAGCGCCTACGATTTCATGCAAGAACAACCCATACAGGTGGAGGTATTCAACAAAACCTCTGGGAAATATATAACTACATTATTCAAAAATGGTTTCATATATATATATATATATATATATATATATATAGAGAGAGAGAGAGAGAGAGAGAGAGAGAGAGAGAGAGCATTAGGTTTTAAAAACATTATTACCAATGTGAAGCCACATAACTGTTCAACTTTTCATAGGAGCCAGAAATGTTTAAATATTAATTTCATCGTATTGACTTTGTTCTTTAAGAAAGTGGCTACTAGAAATGAATTTACGAACGACCGAAAAAAAATAACAATAAATTGATGAAATTTCTTCCAAAAGAGAAGATCGCCATTTCGATGAGGTGCAATATGCTCACAAAGCTGTACAATAGTTCTCAATTATATATTTAAAAAAATCTTCAAAGAGTATAGTTAGTTGAATGACTGTTTAGTTCTTTGAAGCAAACTACTTTTTTATTGTTACGTAAAATTTTAGATGAAAGTGCCGACTATTGATGGAAAATTCCTCCATAATTGGGCAAAAAATCCAAGTTAAAATAAAATTTAAATTAAAACGTTTTGAACATACGTGGTTAACATTATTGATTTGTGTACGTAGTTTTTATCTTTTCATTTTTTTCGGAGAGGGAAGGAAATTCATTCAGTGAAAATTCGGGACAAATATATAATTTAATATTCTTTTGGTGCTGCTATTAATGAATAAAAAAATTAAGTATTATCAGAACGTCTATTAAAAAAATTGACAACTCAGACATTAAATATTATTTTAGGGCGTTCCTTGCAACTGCATCGAAGTGTAGTGTCCAATCCAAGCCGCAATTAAAGCCTAAACCAAGGGTCCGGGTCCCTTCTTGGGACCAGCTCTCTCCAGAGCAACAATTTAAGTATCACTTCGTGCAAACCTTCATCCCCAGATCTTTCTCTCCATCTTCAACCTTTAAATTCTAGCTCTTAAGTCGCTCCTGTCATGCATTCCACTGATATTTTCAATATATATCCTAATCCGATGATGTTCAATAAGCCCCACAGTTGATCTTACATCCAGGTTGGTTCTTAACTTGGTACTCTCTTCGTTTCTTCCTCTAAACTCTTTCTAGCTTTTCACTTGAATGTTTCAAAATTCGTGGAATACATTGTGCATTACAATTTCTATATGCTCGAAACATCATCTCTCTATAATTCCACGAACAACTGATGAATACAACTAAACGTTCTATATGCTATTCTGAAATAAAGAACGAGCAAGCTTATAAGTAGGTTTTTCATAATCGTACCACAATTTATAAAAATTTCCCTAGTCGATGAATATTCAATAGATCAATATTGTTATATCAGAAATACAGATAAGAGACAGACAAATACGTATCGTTCAAGAATGGTGTGGTATCGTGTTCAAACGCATCATCTTACTGTAAATAAGAAAACCACCAAAGAGCTTCTATGTCCATTTTATCTGACGTTTCACAGAAAACACGCATTAAAATTTATCTTTTTTCATCTTGGATGAAATTTATAAAAAGAATGACCACAGCAATAAACAATTTCCAAAAAAACATTTTTTTCAGATGTAGGTACCATTGAAAAGTGTAACGCATTTGTGTTTTTCTCTTCCTTACGATGAACTAACGGTAAATTAGTTGTATAAAACATACGACTTAAAGGAGTACAAACAATTGTTAAACATCATCATATTTTAAGCAGAAAACCTCAGGTAACCTCCGTTTACTCACGTTTGAGTATTAATCCTTTCTTGTTAAAGACAACATCCTTGTTTCTTGCTAACAAACTTATCTGTCTAAATGGATGGCTCTGCCCTGAGTCACTTTCATGCCTTGACATCTACAGATGCTGGTTTCACAGCAAACATCGTATATCTCCACAACACGGGCGGATCTACGGGGGGGGGGGAGACTTTAGGGATGAAGTCCCCTCCCAAATGGTGAAATATAACCATGTTTTATCGAAAAAAATATTTAAAAAATATCTCTTCAAGTATTATTGTTCGTGTAATTACATTTAAAAGGGCTTTAGGAATCACTTAAAACACCATTTCATACAGGTAGTTAGTTTCTTTCTTTTTTTCCAAAGTAAATATCGTTATTTTTAAGAAAAAAAAAACTTTCGGGCTGAAGCCCCCCCCAAAATTAAATTCTGGATCCGCTAGTGCTCCACAATATACGCGAACCTTTTTATTCTGTAACTTATGCCAACCAGGAGCCCATCCAACCACAAGGTTAGCCAGTCTTGTACTTGGTATGATGTGCTGTTTGATTCTTATGGAAGTCTTATCTCAATCGTCTTGTCACGATTAGGAAGTTTTATCTTGTACTGACATTATCATTTTTCGACAACATTACGTCCTATTTAGAACTCCCATGTTTCCTTCCGATCTAGTTCCACAAGCAGTTTATGAAACTTTAATCCATTTTTTATCATTAATTGACTGCGTTTCTTCGTAATTAACTGTCGTTGATGCAAAAGGTCAAAAAACACAATAGTTCGACGGATTTATTTTATGAATATTATATTTATTAATTGCGATTCGTTAGTTCTTTAATCACGAAATATTTTAATAGTAATTCACTTAAAAAAAGCAATATCATTAACAGAAGGCAGTATAATATACTACACTTATAATAAAATATATATTGTATCAACTTTTCTTCTAAAACTTTCTAAACCACAAATCTGGATAACATACATTAAACCATCTTTAAATTGAAAAATAAATAAAATAGTCTCGGCATTGGTGATAACCATAATTAATATCATTACTACCTCAGCACTACTTTCGTTCAACAACATCCTTATGTAAGCCTTAACTAACGATTATCTAACAATACAAACAATTCCAAAATAGTCGCCGAATCCTGAAACATCGATAGATGTATAATACTAATAATAGAATTTTGAAAGACGTGAATTCAGTGTATGATTTGATATCTTTAAATTTCATGAACGTTGTAATGCAGATCAAATGCGGGCATGGGCATGTCAAATCGATTGGAAATTTAAATAAGCCACGCCAACGAAAAACTACAAAAGAAAAACCATAATACTAATCAAGAAGGCACATAAAAATAAATTATACAAAGTCATTACAGATCTTAAGAGGATTATAATTTTTGTAATATTTTTTAATTATTAATTAATTATATTGCAATCATAGCACAATTTCTAACTATTTTTAGTGTGCACGAAATTGAAAGTATTTTTAAATTTAGGAGGATGGATTTTTGATGAAAGGATGTTTTTTTTTTAGCATGGCCTTTATAATTTTTTTAAGCATATTAAGTACAATCAAAGCACATTTATTTTGAAAGAAATTGATACTAAAAAAAAAGTGTATTGTATATATTTTAAACTAGACTGTATGGAATTTAGATGATTTTTAAAATTATTAATTATCAGATATCAATTAACTTTATGGCTTAAAATGTTATAACAAGCAGAGCAGAGCTGGAATAAGAGGGTCTTAAGAGGCCCTATGTACTTTTAAAATTACATGTCCCAGTTATAATTTTAAATTAAATAAATTAGCATGAAAATAAATCTTATTATATTGATAACTATTTTTTTTTATTCTTCAGTATGTTATAATAGATAAAAATGTAATATTTATTCACAGAGATTTAATAGTTTCTTCATATGTTTATTTTCAGTTAACAGGTTGAATAGGTGAACCCCCATATCTTGTAGCTCTAAGCATTAGATTATATTGCAGTAATTGTCACTTCAGGTAACAAGTGATAGTAATTATGAGAATCAAGTTAATTTTAAGTTGAAAACATAATATCTTAACAGTTTTAAAACAGTGAATGTGGTCTAGTTGTAATCAATAATGTTGGTTTTAAACATTAGTTGGCCATCAAACATAAATAAGAATAATTTAAATAATCGAGGATAAGCCCAAACTGACAAACAAGAAAGAACTAAAAGGCTAATAGTCAAAGAATCCAACTAAATATATTAATATAAAGAAAGAAACACAGAGGAAAATAAATCAGAACCTGAAATGATCTAACATTGGGTCATAATTTACCAATTTTATTTAATAATCTGTATCAAGAAAAAATATCTTTAAAAGCAGGAAATAAATAACATTTATGGTTATGAAATAGCATCTTATAAGGGATTCAATACATACCCTCTAATTCCATTAAACCCATAAATCTTGAAGGAAGCACACCAATTATAAAATATATAAAGTAGAAAAAAAATCTAAGTTTGTAAGAAGTAATAATATATACATTAAGTCTATGTTTTGTGCGACATACAGATAATTATCATTTGAAATAAATAAAACAGTTTCTTATCTCAATATTTTGATTTTTTTTTTCAGAATTTTTGTTTTGCTCTTAATGATAATTTATAATTCATTAAAGTGCCACTTGTAAGAGAAAATTTAAAAAAAGAAGGGAAAATTATAAATTATTTTAAAAGTCTCTTAATGTAAGCCAACAATTTTTTAAGGTTTAATGTCTAAACTTAAAAGAAAGTTCAAATTGGCTTCAAGTAATAATTTAATAAATATATTAACCATAAGAGAATTGATATGGTTGTTAATTAAGATCCTGTTATTTTAACCAGACATATATTAAATTCAAACAAGAATAATCATAAAAAAACATATAATCAATAACAAATTTGTTCAGCTTCATAGTCTCTTCATTTATTACTATTGGATATCCTAATTATATATTAAAGAAAACTAGGTATCAAAAATCAATAATACTAAAATAATTAATCACCAAGAAATAAACCAACAATAATTGATAATTGTCATATACAAGAAATGAAATGAAAAGAATTGTTTCTTCTGAGACTGAATGCACTCTAATAACAACTTCAAATGAAACAGTCAGTGTAATTTTTTTTTTTTTTTAATGACAAATTAAGCTTCAATATACCTTAACCATGTAACTCTTAACCATTTCATTAAATAAATATAACTATTTTTTTAGTCATTTATAAAATACATAATGCAATGACTTACAAAATCACTAAAAAGAACAAATATAATAGTACAACAAATATCAATTAATAAAATGACTATGCCAAAGGAGAGGCAGGATGTTCTGATCCCAACAAATCTATTACCTTACATAAACAATAAATCAATTAGAACGAACTTGATTAAAAAAAAAAAAATCAACGTAGTTGGAAACTTACCTTCAGATAAAACTGATTGTCATAAAACGATCCCTTTCTCTTCAAGCCCTATGCACTTCCTTATCAAGTTTGGTAACATCTTACACAAAAAGTAAAGTGGAATCTGGAGCAAATCTGGTCAAGTTGAGGCAAAAATAATTTAACATACAAGGAGTGAATATCCTTTGTTACCAAGTGCATGTTTAGTACTGTCAGAGAACTGTTGCCGTTGCCAACTTGCCCACTAAAAAATACCTACCTACACTCCATTACCTTTAAGATATTGAATTAATATGTATCGCATTTATTTAAAACATATCATAATCATATTTAGAAACATCCGACCTACGTTATTAACTTAAAAGGCGAAACAAAACAAATGAAACCTGTCACCTTTTAAAAATTCTTCAGTTGGCAGCAGCCAGCTGGTTATTTCATCAGCTGTAAGAGAATCCTAGAATGACAGAAAGACTGATTGGTTGTTCCTACTGACGTGCCTTGTAAACAAGGGTGGGGGTTTAAATGTACATACTATCAACAAAACAAACTTATCACTCCAAATATTGGGTCTTTAAAAATAAAATAGAGTAGTTATCTTCATTTATTAATATTATTTACACTCATGAAACGTAAATGCTCGCAAAGTTTTCATTTCATTTTGGGAACTCTATCTGCTAATTCAAATATAAATAACACAATTTTATATTTCCTAGAATAGACAAATAATTATTTGTCTATGAATGTAATTTTGTATATAATCTAATCAAGTATTTATATTTTTCTGAAGTTCATTCCTATAAAAGCAATAACTTGATAATGTTTATTATGAAATTTCATTATAAACTCTTTGTAATAATCCTTTTTTTTTTTGTTCTTCATTATTTAATGAACAGAGATTCATTAAACTCATATGAATTACTTGTTAAATAGCTAAATATGACAATGTATGCTTTTATTCATTATTTGCTAAGAAAATAAATTTCAGGAATGCATTGATATATTAATAATATATTTAAAACAGGAACACATAATACGAACATACAATGAAAGAAAACATAATATAGTTTGTTTCATTCCATCATTCTTCATCTATATATTATATTAAATAAAAATGATTTTGCCTATTAAATAGATCTATACTATGCGTAATGGAAAAAATAATTGATTGTTAAAATAGATATGAACTAAGCACAAGCTCTGTATTTATTAAATAATGGATTTTTACTTACTATATAAATAAAAATATATCTAACTCAAAAGGTCATACAGCAGAGGCCATCTATGGAATATACGGTGAACTAAAAGCATACTGTAATTGAAAGCTTCCCTTTCATCTATGAAAAAATCATTACATCGTTTAAAAGTAATTTTTGTCAAACACAAATTTAATTATGCAATATTAATTATTAAAACTAGAGTAATTTTATGAGTAATAAAATTGTATCATTCCTTATAATTATTAATAATTTAATTTTAAAACAAATAATTGATTGTTAAAATAGATATGAACTAAGCGCAAGCTCTGTATTTATTAAATAATGGATTTTTACTTACTATATAAATAAAAATATATCTAACTCAAAAGGTCATACAGCAGAGGCCATCTATGGAATATACGGTGAACTAAAAGTATACTGTAATTGAAAGCTTCCCTTTCATCTATGAAAAATTCATTACATCGTTTAAAAGTAATTTTTGTCAAACACAAATTTAATTATGCAATATTAATTATTAAAACTAGAGTAATTTTATGAGTAATAAAATTGTATCATTCCTTATAATTATTAATAATTTAATTTTAAAACAAATAAATATATTTTTAATTTTATTAAGATGCATTCAGACATTTTACAAAATTACAAAATATTATATTACAATATTATGAGATATTACAAAATATGAGAAACACGATTATCTAACTTAAATAAAAGAGATACTATTGCTAAACCAAACTTTTTATTTTATTTCGCTTGATACCAACATTAGATAGATAATGTCTAAAACAAGAAAAGAAAATATTATAATAGTGAAATAATCTTTTGTTTTCTTTTTTTTTTTCTTCTTGCCTTGCCTTACAGACAATACAGGATGTAGCAGCAGTATGCTTATGTCACTGCTGGCAGTATGGTGTCTATAGTGCAATAACAATTTATATATTTTTGGAATGAAATTACATTTTGTTTGGTTTCAATTGAGAACTTTCGAACCGAAGAAAATTATATACAATATCAGCATTGGCCTTACCGATTCGTTCTCGAAAGATATTCTATTTTAACAGCTAACTATTGAGCCCAAATACATAAATTGCTCTACATTTTTGAATGTGAATGGTCCATATTGTATAGGGAGGCATGTGCCTAAACTCTTGGATGCATTAGCGGATCCGGGATTTAATTTTAGGGGGGGGGGGAGAGGGCTTCAGCCGAATTTATATAATATATATATATATATATATATAAACGATAATTAATTAGAAAAAAAAAAAAAAGAATTAACTACCTATATGAAATGGTGTTTAAGTGGTTCTTGAAGTCCTATTAAATGTAATTACACGAACAAGAATACTTTAAGAGTTAGTTTTTAATATTTATTTCTGTAAAACATAGTTATATTTTATTATTTTGGGAGGGCTGCAGCCGGAAAGCCCCTCCCCCCCCGTAGATCAGCGTGTGCTTGGATGGAATGTCTGTCAAGGTTGATTCATGTTTCTGAAAATTCTTTGTGCTACCAACCAACCCATATATGTTGCAAATGAAGGTAAGGCTTTTTGAAATATTAGCGAATAATTATAATTACAGAAGGAGATATAAATTTCTTAGGGGTGGCAGATTACTAAATCCTTCGTCACTTTTCCTAATCTGCTGTTCTTGATCAATATATAAATATGGTATGTTTGAGATTTTTAACATGTATATCAGAATTTTACATTATTTGCCTTATTTGGTTTATATATTTTTTAATCACCTAATCAAAAATTAAGGCAGTAGGTGCAAAAGTGGCATATAAGAACAAAATTCAAGTTTTAAACAAACCTGAAAACATTTATAGTCAATTTTCATTTTTGGATTTTGGGATGAACATTAACACCGCCATAAAATATTCTTGGTCCTTTAAGGCACACACGGAGAAAAAATACTAAGAGACTAAAGGCAGAGGACGAAGAAAATCGCGTGATGAAATGTGAAAATGTGACTAAAGAGCAGCGTTTTGGTTCAGGCAGTTCAATTTTAGAAACATTGAGCCTTCAAAATGAGTCCAGATCGGGTCGGGCTTCAGATCTGAATTAGCCAGAGTCCGTATTCAACATTATCGACTATATGAGTTTGAAATAAATGAAATGGTAAGCCACCATTTAAAAAGTTTTATGTTTGAAATTTATAACCCAAATCAGATCCTCATAATTTGTTAGTCGTCCAAGCTAAAAGACGATTCTTTTCTATTTTTTTTTTTTTTTTCAAGATCCAAATAATGATAGAATTTGGAAAAGAATTAAAAGCGATGAAAAATACATATTCAGGAAAACTGAAACGATTGTATCTTCAGGAGTTATTCTGTTATTATTGTGTTCCAAGAGTTAGTATTTCAGCATAAGATATCGTTTCTATTTTTGTCAATGATTGTCTGCATGGCGGATATGCCATCTTCAAGAATGGCAGCACAGGTAAATATACTGAAGCAAGTGTAAAAGCAATTCTACTCTACCTGGCGGCATAATCCGCCTTGGTGTAATATCTCAGATACATCATGTCAACGTTTGGTTTGTTGACGATTATAGTAGCCCAGAGCCTCCTCTATACAGGGTTCGAAGCCATAACTTCTGGCGTGAGATCAAATCCTGTGACCTAGTTCCTAAGGTAACTCGGTACCTGGACCACCATGATGCCCTAGCGTCGGAAGAGACCTCTCAGGCTTTCCGCCATATGACGCCGATGGCCCATGTTGAACTAGAGAATGGTGATTTTATTCATTAGGTTAATTTTGCTAACTCTCTTGTCCACTTTAAATATAAAGAGTACTCCTACTCTACTACAGCTTTTACTTTCCACAACTGTAAAAGATGCAATGGTAAGTAAACGCCCAACTGTTAGTGTCCACATTAGACATATAAGTTTTTACAGAGAGTTCTACTGTGGAAAGTTGTTGATCAGATATTATTTCTGCCACCGAAAGCTCCTCGATGAATTTGGTACTGATTTTACCAAAATTATTTTTGCTACTATGGCACACTTAAGATTTCTTCAACAAGCTGGACAAGGGCTGAAACGTCTTCATATTTTTCTTCTAATTCAGTAGCCTTTTCCTAACTGAGGCGTTGTTATTTTCTTTTTAATCTAACTTTCTATTGTAAACTTGTACAATATTAGGTAGATGGGTTAGTCGACTACGAATATCACATCTCTTGTCAAATAACTTTTCACTTGGGACCTTTTCGTAATTTTCATAAACATATTTATTGAACTACAGCCACAAATATACGAGCAGTCCAATCGAACTTCCAACAAATAATACAAAATGAATAACTTTATCCCTTTTAAAGCTTTAATATATAAATATGGGCATTCGTATGGGAGACCGAGGGTAGGAGAAAGAGAGGAAGGTCTCATGTCAGGTGGAGAGATGTGGCTGAGAGCAGCGCCGGCCTCAGGGTGACTATCTACCCGAGCAATCACCCCGGGGAGCCGACCTGCAAGGGCGTCCGTCGGGGGTACCGACCTATCTTCAGGGGCGCTCGTTACTTGTTAGAATTTTTTTTTTTTTTTATTAACGAAATTTACAACTGTAATTAATAATAAATACAACAAGTAAATATGAACAAGTAATATGACATGTACAACATGAGGAGAAACTACCCATTGGTAGCACTCCAATTATATTTCTATATTAGAAGGTCCCGAGGCCATCTTCTTTTTAGACGCCTCGGAGGGTTATCAGGAATAGAAGAGGAAGCAAGATTGGAAACGAGAGGGTTCGGATGGTTCAGAAGTTTATTATGAAAGGACAGGTATCTGGATTGAGCTAAATCGGAAACATATGGTACATTAAGGTCATTATGGAAGATTTTATTTGTAACAAAGTAGGGAGCATTGAAGATTTTACGAAGGATTTTAGATTGTAGGGATTGGATACGAGAGGAATTTGATGGTTTAGTAGAACCCCAAAGCTCGATCCCGTAAGTCCAAATAGGCCTTATTATAGTAATATATATGAGTCTTTTGTAAATAGTTGGCAGTTTAGAGCGTTTGTCTAGTAAGTGCTGGAGTAGTCGGAAACGTCGGGCGGTTTCTAGTCGTTTCAGTCTGGTATGGGGGTTCCAAGTGATTGGTTTGTCAAGGTGGAGTCCTAGGTATCGGATTTGGTCAACAGGGATAAGTGGGGTATTGTTAAAGGATACTGTAGGACAGGAAGTCATAGGTTTACGACGAAGAGTAAAGGTAATTTGATGGAATTTATTGGAGTTTATTTTAATCCTCCAGTTTTGACACCATTTTTCAAGACTTGTGATGTGTGATTGAAGAGTTTGGGATGCAATAGATGGATCGTTATTGACTGATAGGATACATGTGTCATCGGCATATGTGGTGATGACAGTGTTGGAATGGGTTGGGATGTCAGCTGTATAAAGGATAGGACCTTGTTAGAAATTAATTTTTAAAAAAATACACAACGCATTAAAATAATTAAGTTTAAGCTATCAATATAGCAACTGTAATAGAGACATGGTTAATGAAATAAAATGATGATATCAGATATAAAACAGTTTAGGAAATGAATTCAATTTTTTTAGAGTGGAGGGAAGATGACGTCATTGCTTTTCATTCTTTGGAAGCTGTGCACCAATTGTTCATGACTTGGATCGGAAGGTCCACGTCGGTGGTAGTCGCAGAGTCCGACGTCCTTACTGAAAATCACATTAGTTAGTAGGTGAACAAAATTTCCAAAACTTTATGTACGGCTGAATTGTGGCAGTGAGGCCAGCCCACTTTAATCTGATAGCCAGAGGAAGAAGATCCATAATCAGAAATACCACCGAAAGATGAAGCTCACTTCACAGAGGGATATTAGAAGGATCCTATTTTAGTCTGGAATAAGATAATGAATTAGAAAAAATTGACAGAAGTGGCACTGCAAACGTATTACCACTGCTGCCAAATTCTTTGTAGCCAATAGACAAGGAAGGACTGAAAATAAAATGAATGTTTCTCTGATTAAAATTAATGTTTCATGTTCTGAAAATAGCACAGAGGTAAGTAAGAATTTCAATTAATGTTTAATTCGAATTTTTGTTTGAATTTAAAAAAAATGTTATTGGCCTATAAATATGTATTAAATTTAATTAAAATATATTATGTGAAATGAGAAAAAAAATTAGAAACACTAGGTACTTTTTCTTGCAGGCATGTTCGCTCCGTTTTCGTATAACAAGGTAATAACCTCCAGTATAGTTTGTTAGCTTGTTCAAAAGTCGGTTTTGAAAGTAAGTAAACTTATTTTTATTATTTTATTAGTTTGAAGTATATATATATTGCACCCTTTTTATCCTCTAAGAGGCCGGGAATTCCATAAATGACTAAGTTTTATAACCTAGTCGTCATGCTTCAAACCTTAGGAGTGGATTGTAGCTGTATTTCTTGACTATAAACTATTTCAAAATGATGAATTCTTGTGTTGCATATAGTTTGTTGATAAATGTTTTTATTTTCATTTTAGAATAATAGTGTATTATGCTTGTTAATGTACTGTCATAAGTTTACATTGTTAGATATTGGGTTCTGGTGGTTTTACTTTCAGTTAATTATTCTTTTTTTTGATTTGTGTGAGCTTATTTTTGATATTCGCGTATTTATCTTAAATTTTATTAAATTTCATATATTAATTACCATCAATTTTATTGTGATTCAATGAGCTGTTATTATTTAGTAAATGTTTAAATGTGCCATGTGCCTTGTCGTTGCTTAAGGGTGTTAAATTATTATTAGAAATACAATATTCAAAGCTGCTTCTAAGAGCATTCAGAATTTAAAAAAAAATTCCATGCTCAACTTTAAAACAGTACCCCCCTTTTAAAAAACAAAATGTTTTCTTTGTTCGTTGAAATTTACTTATCCTACCCTCCCCTTCAATAAATTGATTACCGGTCTCCAATTAGGACACAGGAAATATGATTGTTATGTTTTATTATTTACTTTAGTGAGCTTTAAATAATGTGTATAGATCATTTTCTCAGAAAGTGTCAATTTTAATACATCTTGTAAAATTTACAAGTTGTTACTTAATTTTTTAAGAAATAGCAAATCACCTTTTTACCTTACATTGTTTTTTCCTCTAGAAATGTCGTATTCGTTCATTTTCCAGGTCTTCCTCTTTGTTTTCTTCCCTCTATTTGAAATTACATCAGGACTATTTACCAGCCCCTTTTCTTCCTGTGTTATCAATTATTTTTGTGCTTTCTTCTTTCTTTCAGGAACCTTTACTGGGTCTCCAGATCTATTCCAACTTATTTTTATTTAATATTTTCTTTTTTTTAGTGCCAAATTCCTCTTCAACAATCCTCTTAAAAAAATTACTTTTGATTTTCAATTTATGAACTTTTCATTAATTAATGAATTTACGGTATACAAGAAAATAATTATTTTAAAATGCGCCATATGCTCATTCAGAAAGCTAAAAGAAATAGAAAATTATTGTGTATACCCAACACTAAGATATAAGAAATAGAAGTAAAAAAATTACATATTTAAGTGCTTGTGGGAACCTATTACGTTTTTAAAAATCTAATAGAATTAAATTAATCGTACCTACATTCAAATTCTACTCAACAAACATTACATACTGATATAACTTAATAAAGTAAGTGGGTGAACAAATGAGAAATATCATGTTTTTCTTGGCTTGTTTTCGTATTTTAACAACTATATGTACGAAAAATTTAGTAACTCATCCAGTTCTAAATAGATGAATTAAAAATCTACTAAAATGTTTTACTTTTTTGGTACGGCTGTATGAATGATAAGTATTAACATTAATTACTGTATTTACTTAGTACATTAAGTTGTAACAACAGGCTGATACTTATGATGGGTTTCAGAACCTATAACCTGCTAGTTTAGATTGTGATTATTTAGAAAGATAACCAATGAAGAGAATTTCGGTGAAAATTATAGACAACTGATGGGGTTAACAAATGATCCTAAACCTCTAAACGTTTCCTCAGCTCCTGTGTTCCTTTTACTTATTCTAAGGTAGAGAGTTAGTTTCTCAATCTTAAACACCAATACTGTAAGTCTCAAAATTGTTAAATGAATTTTGGCCTTATCTAGGGACTGATAAAGATCTGAAACTTCTGGAAGGTTGAGTCCATGAAATGTGAACAAATGAGTGGCCTCATATCAAAGACTGACATTTGTCGTTTTTAAAAAGTTGAGAAAAAGCCAATTTTTGTAACACAGCTTCTATTTTGACCAATTCTAATGATTGTTTTTTCGTAATTCAAATTGGATAGAGTTTTTTTTTATTGAACCTATAAAACAAAAATTAATTTTTTCTCTACTTTCTGAAAATGACAGGTGTACATCTCTGATATGAAGTCACTCGAATGATATTTTAGCCTTCTATACTTTTCTTATAAAATTCTAATTATCAACTTATTTACATGTCAAATATAGATGTAGTTTGATAGTGTTTTGGGATATTCATATCTTTTGAATGCAAAATGATTATCCTTTCCAGAATATTTGATACTTTCTAGGAGAATGGCCCATATTTGTAAGGTTGCTTAGTGAAAGAGCAGCTAATGCCAATTTTTGGATAATATGAATTAGTGGGTCCGTGTGTTTATTAAGTAAACAATTTATCTCCTCTTCCGTCAAAAAAATTTACCTTAAAATACCAGGATTTATTTTTACTTTCACATTCCTATATGTATGTAATTATGTAATAAATGAAAGAATTATGATTGTGAAAAATTTCGAATATGAATTTTCAATGAAAATAAATGTTTTGAGGTCTCCTGAGTCCAATTAACACAGTCCTACAAATTGCTCTGTGTGTGAACAGTTTAGCTCAGTAACGAAAAAAAAAAAAAAAATACGTATTTAAGATAAGTATGTGCCTTGAGATATTACAGCCACTTTTTCCTTAAAATCAGCTAACTGGAAGATCCAAATTTTATCATCTATTTTATTCATTTTTACTATTTTCTCAAAATGGCTCTCTTTGCTACATGCATGATAATATGTATATTAAAAGTTATGATTTTAAATCGCATATGAACAAATTGACTGAAATATTCTCTTGTCATTTTTTTAAAAGCGGTTCTTTTACTGAATGCGTTTATTATCCTTATATCATTTTCCTCTGATTAAATAAATAAAAATTCTTTTTATATTTGCATGATAGTTTTTGTATTCAATGTTGAAAATTGTTTATTTAAGCCATTGCCTTCTTCGAATAGTACATAAAAGTTGTATGTGTTTCATTTAAAATAAATTCATTTACTTAATGTTGAGTTACACCTTACCTTATATTTAGTTTTGATTTCAAACATTGGTCATTATTTATAAGTTATTTTATTGTATTTATGATAAACTGCATGATTTTACATTATGAAAAACTAGGTTTCATTCCATGAAACAATGATTTTTATCCAGTTATGTATTTCAGATTAAGCTGTCATGTCTGGAAGAGAAGGTGGTAAAAAGAAGCCTCTGAAAGCTCCCAAGAAAGATAACAAGGAATTGACAGATGATGATATGGCGATGAAGCAGAAACAAAAAGAACAACAGAAAGCGTTGGAGGAAGCCAAAGCCAGAGCATCACAAAAAGGTCCAATGGGAGGTGGTGGTATTAAGAAATCTGGCAAGAAGTGAAGATAAAGAACAGTCCACCTCAATATTATGTGTGTTTCAATAATGCATTTACCAGTTACTCTTTTCAAATGAGTATGCATACTCATGCCAATTTGTATCTTTGTATATTCACTGAAAATATATAATAATTGTTAAGGAATTTATTGTAATTGCATTTCCTTTTTAAAATATGTTGTATTTCTGAACCAAGATTTTAAATTTACAGTTTAATATAAAAATTATTATTATATTATTAAAAGCTATTATGCTACTGTATCCATAACCCTTTATAGAACAGAATTACTTATACTTAAATTTAAAACAAAAAATTAAACAGTTTCAAGAACTACTATTGAGTGTATAAAAACAATATTTACTTATAAAAACAGTTATGTTCGCATATTCATTCATTCCAAGGGCACTGCAGCCAGATGTGGACCCTGGCCTCAATGAGTCTTCGCCAGGTGGCTTGATGCTGTGCAGCCACACTCCAATACCGTACTCGCAAAAGGGCTTGAGCATTCTTAATTCATCTAAGTTTTGCCCTTCCTCTTCCTCTTGACCCGTCCAGTTTACACAATAGCAGTTTCTTATGGATTTCTTCCTCGCTCATCATTGCTACGTGGGCTGCTCATCTCGGTCGATGTTCACTTCCTATTTTAGCGTCTCCTCCACTGGTTCCCTCAATTAATGAGTCCAAAAAATGCTTACTTATAGGAATTAGGATTTATTTTTCCTATTGTTCTCCATGAGACATGAAAATTTATTCTGCACAATATTTTAGTGGACAATCAGGTTTAATAGAAAAACAAGAAATTCACATATACAAGTTTTATTGATGTAAAGAGAAATTAAATTATAATGAACATAATTAAAAAGAACAACAACATTTAAATAAAAAAAATTGTACATTAATTATAAAATTAGATCCAACTAATATTAGTAGTTAATTCAACTTTATATTTTCTTGCAACTACTAGTTCTTGTGAAATGTCAACTAAAACAAGAAAGAAAATCTCTTAAGAGTCTAAATATATTCTCAGGAGTGATGGATTTTGTTGAATGAAGTGTTAAACAAAAGGGAATTTCATAGAGAACTGAATAATCCCAATTTCGATCCTCCAGTGATATAACAAATTTGGAGGCTTCAAAACTCAATTGGTTTCAAAGTAATAAATGGAGATGGAGTAAATTTTGTTTTAAAGATTTTGACACGGTCATCAAGTCCCAGTATAGTTCCAAAAGCATTATCAGGTTCTGCTTAATATGAATAGTGATTCTTGCTTTAATTGCTATGGGATACTTATTATGTGTTCAAATTTTAAAAATCAAAATATTACTTTTTATGTTCTTAAGTCTTCGATGAACTAAAAATCTATTTAAAAAGTAGGCGGAGCAGAATAGCTCTGCAGCAACTAACCGGGAGAACCGGAGATCCATGCTGGAGCAGGCCAAGTCTCGAATAATTGGGATGTAGTGCCACTTAATAATAATAAAATAATTAATGGCTTTTAAACCCTTAGGCCCAGTTGCACCAACCGTTGTTAACTTTAATTTTATTAATCTTGATTAGTTTAACACTGGCTAACAGAATTTTCGTTACATCAATGTATATTAGCCTTAACACCGCGTTAAGTTAACACAACAAACCAATCCAACCTCAGACCTTGATGAAATATTTAAATGATATTAAAGTATAACCTTACATACAGTTACTAATGGTAACAAACTAATATTAGCTTCTTCTGAGAGTACTAGTGTAGTGTTTTTGTTTTTACGTTTTTCAAGACGACTACAAATATGATATCATCTGAAGAACATTTTTCAGAAGAAAGTTTATCATCAGATGAAGACTTTATCTTATCTATCTGCTTCCTAAAAACAAATTGTGCAGGGTAAGTAATGATCATATTGATTTTTATGATTAATCTGAATTTAAATCAAGATTTAGGTTTTCAAAAGAATCAGTGCTTAATTTAATGGACATTTTTGAGATTAATCCTATAGCATTTCACAATAGAAATATAACAGTTACTCATAACTTTAATGTATTATGCTACTGGAAGTTTTCTAACATCATTAGGCGACCATATTAATATAAATAAATCTAGAGTAAGTAGAATAATTCCTTGTATAACAAAATTAATTGCCGAAAAATTCAATAAAATTTCTCAAACAGATGGGGTTATAAACAACAGTGTAAGAAACTTAGATTAGATTATTAACAAAATTAGATCTTTTCCTGGAGTAATTGTTGCAATTGACTGCACCCATATTAAAATTCAGTGCCCAGGTGGCGATAATGCCGAACTTTTTCGGAATCGAAAAGGATGGTTTTCGTTAAACATTCAACAAGTATGTGATGCAAACTTAAAGGTTCTTGATATTGTTTCTGGTTGGTCTGGGCTCTGTACATGGTAGTTGAATATTTAATTCAAGCTCATTATTAGCAAGATTTGCATCAGGAGAATTTAAGAATTTCTGGCTACTTGGATGGATGGCAGTGGATATGATTGGAAATCTTATTTACTTACTCCCATTTTAAACCCCAGTAATGCCTCCGAAGAAAAATATAATACTGCTCACATAAAAACAAGAAATACCATTGAGAGAGCGTTTGGTGTGATGAAAAGGATCCCTTGCCTTGTAAATAGAATAAGAATGAAACCTGAAAAAGCAGTAACTGTTGTTGTGGCTTTCGGCTGAAGCACCTCCCCTCCCCCAAATGGTAAAATATAACCATGTTTTATAGAAAAAAATATCCCTTAAAGTATTATTTTTTGTTTTATTACATTTAATAGGATTTTAAGAATCACTTAAACACCATGTCGTAAAGGTAGTTAGTTTCTTTCTTTTTATTTTGCAAATTAATTATCGTTATATATATATATATGAAAAAAAAAAGCTTTCAGGCTGAAACCCCTCTCAAAACTAAATCCTGGATCTGCTAGTGAATACATTAATCACTAATATATATATGTAAAAGATGTAACAGCACATACAATAACTCTATAAAATTCCAAAAAGTCAACTTAATGAATAAAATCTCTACTTACATCATTATCCTATCCTCTATGTTAAATTATTTTTTATATAATTGTTATAAATTTTTTTTTCATTCTTAGCCTCACATTCCTCCAATGTTAATTTCATAACTATTTATGGAAAGCCAATTCTAAAATTAAAATAATTAAATTTGCAATACATCTCAAATAAGAAAAGGCCAAACAACAAAGTTTTCAACAATTCACCATAATATTTTATAAATTACCTTATGCCATAAATCACACTTATTAAACATTTTTTAAAAAATTTCCATCAAATGCTATAGATTCTCGTCTATTGCCTTATGTCCTCTGTGAGCTGTGGGCTTACATATTATTATGATTTATTGGGATTAAGAGTACTGCATTATTTTAATGATTTAAGTTTCATATTATTGCTAATAATTTTGCTGAAATGTTTTATTAATAACTTTAATTTAATTTCTAATTTATTAATTCTCTTAATATCCCTTATGAAATTAACCAAATTTTTAGTTATATAGATCGATTCAAGATACTTTCTTATTTTATTATCTTTAGCCCTATTTAAAATTTCTATTTTATCATAATCAAAAATATGATTTTTTTTTTTGATTTTTTTTCTTACCCTCCAATATGTTTATTGAAACAATTTACATATATAGTATACATAACAATACAATATATACATGTAACAAATTCCTTCCACTGCCCGAGGGCATATATGCCCTAGTAGTATTATTCATGATACTATGCCTTGCTAGAGCTGTGACATTGATATTTTTCGGGCTTTTAGTATTTATTTTATGTTGATTTATTTTATTTTGCAAATTTTGAGATGTTTCTCCAATGTAAAATTTATATTTGTACTGCTTACAATTAATTTTATAAATTACATTTTGTTTATTCTCTTTTTTAATTTTATCCTTCATCTTTGTTTAATTTATTATTATTATTATATACACCAAATCTTATATTGCTATGGTCATATTTTTTGAATACATGTTTAATTTTATTAGTTATTCCTGGTATATATTTCAATTTAAAAAAACTGCCCATTTTCATCATGTTTTGTGTCTTATTTTTATTATTATCTTTAAAAAATCCGTTTTCAATCCTCTTTTTTTGTTGTTTTTTTTATAACAATCTTTTTATTATTATAATTATAGCTTTTTTAATAATATTTTTTCATTAAGGCACTTTTTACCTTTATTCGCATTATTTATCTCATGATAACTTACATACCTAAACCTTTTTGATATATTTACGGGGGTAAAAATCATTACACAAAATTTTAAAAATTCCAGTATTTATTTTTTAAAAATATTTATCATCAGTTAACATTAAAGATTTTTCTATGAGGTGTTTGCTGTATTTTGAATTAGATGCTTTGGATGATTTGAATAATAATTAAGGAGTATATCACTGCTATTTTCTTTTTTTTTTTCAAAAAGTTTCTATTTTATTTTTATCAAATATGATATTTATATTGATTTGAAATATAAACAATTTAACAATTTTGTTGTTAACATTATTCAATCAATTTAATAATTCTTCATCTTGTTTTTCTTTTGTGATTATTAATAGGTCATCTATGTATTTTTTTATGAATATTGGTTTTTCTATAATCTTTGTGAGTTGCTCATTAATGATTTTGTTTGAATAACAACCACTAAGTGCCACTGATAATCTACCTCCAATTGCGAGACCATTTGTCATTTTGTAGTAATTATCGTTAAATTTAAAATAATTATTTAGAATGCATAATTTTATGCCTTCTATGTAGACCATTTTATTCATAATATATTTTTTTTTTTTTAATAATGTTCCAATTTTGTCTGTAGTTCCATCTACATTATCTATTGTTGGTCTAAGACCTTTTATAAGTTTGTGCAACTTTATTAAACCATATATTCTTGGATCAGTATATTTGTTAGCAGATAATTTTATGTAAAACTTTATTCAAGTATTC